CCCCTAAACATTAAACAAATGGTTTAGGAATTTTGTGGTCCTGCACTCAGGTGAGGCAAAAAGATGTTCAAAGGGTGTAGGGAAAGAAAACAGCCATTCACAAGTGTGTGACTGGAGTGGGGCGTGAAGGGGAACTGTGGACACTCATAAAGCCTTGTGTGAGTTAGATCTGTGGAAATCCTGCAGAAAAAGCCCTTGTGTGAGCTGTTATCCTCTCCTCTTCTGCACTTGAGGCACCTTGAACCCGAGCTGTGGTGTGTCTGCACTGGGGGCCCAAGAGAGTCAATTTGTTCCTGTTAATCTGGAAGATTCAGTCTTTTCTTTTTCAAAAGAAGTGAAGAGGCATAGAAAGGAAAGGTGAAAGAAAGAAGGTTATTCTCAATTATTTTTCCTTTTTGTCTGTTTAGAAAGCTTTAACTTGAGGGTATTGAGTACCATACCTGTTTGCAAAAACATCACAGCTCAAGATCTGGAGGAGAGGAGAGTTTTTTATCTGTGGCTCAGAGCTGATTTCCTTGTGCCAAGTCACCAAAGGCAGAACCAGGCTACATGGTCTGGATCCAGTCTAGACAAGGGGGCTGGGTTTGGTGTTTGGGCTTTGCCCAGCCTCTGGATAGAGCCCAGCTGACACCAGATGCAGTTTTTGGAGTCAGTGTTAGCATTGGATGGGGACATGCCCATTCCTGGTTGTCCAGCACAGCTCTCATCACTGCTTGTGGCTGTTCTGGTGGAGGTGACAGAGGAAACTCCATACCTGGGCAGAAAAGGGCTGGAAAAAGCTGAATGGGGGATATCAGCTGCTCCCTGAGCTCCAGCACTTCATCTCCATCCACCCAGCTCTGGGTTCTATTCCCTGGCAGCACCCACAGCTCCTGTCCCCCCTGCACCAGCCTCAGTCAGGGCACTCACTCTGATTATCTGTGCCTGGTTTCCCTGGCTGTTCCTGGAGCAGGGTGTGTGTGGCGGCCTGATAAAACACTGCTGCCACTCAAGGACCAGCACCTCCACAACAGCCTGTGTTTATATCACCCTTTTATGAATTAGCTTTTTTTAAAGAGTCCCAAATTCCATTATTTCAGCTATTCTGATTTGTATCATTAAATAATGCGGCTGATAACTGCTGAAATTTGATTTCTTCATTGACCTGTGTCTTTTATTCATTTCATCAGGGCAATGGATTTTTTGCTTATTTTATCCTGTGGGTTAACCCTTACCAGGAGGTTTAGGTTTTTCTCAGGCATGTCAGGTTGGTGAGCAGGGAGAAGACCCCTGCCCTCTCTAGCATGAATGCTGCCTGCAGGGAGGAGTTCTGCATTCCAGCCCAGATCCAGGCCAGGCTCTTCTCCCCATGTGATGCTGGGGAGGATGAGCACTCTCAGGGTGGTGTGGCAGCTGCTCCAGGTGTGCACTGGGGAGGTGCCACCTTCCCTGGCTCCTGTGGCAGCTGTGGCAGCCTAGGGCAGTGCCAGTGTTGCCTCCTGCAGGATTCCCACCCGGCTCTGAGGTCCCAGCACAGCAGTTTCCTTCCCTGAGAAAAGGCACCTGGCAGAGGTTCTGCCTTAGGAACCTTCTGATCATCTCCATTGAGGATGAGGAGATGAGGAGCAGCCAGAACCATCTCCCAGCTGGAGGATGAGACTCTCTGAGCTGCTCTTCTTCAGTCTCAGTTCAGGAAGGTGTCAGGGCTTGTGTCTAGGCTGCCTCCTTACAGAAGATGGCCTTGAAGATCTGATGGCATTTTCCATCTGTCACCACCATGATCTGAAACCAGAGCTGTCTCAGGCAGTGTTTCCCTGACAGAATCATGGTTCCTGTTCTGATCCTGCTCAGGCTCCTGCCTATCTCCTGCATCCACCCCTGAGGGTTTATTTACAGACACAGCACCAGCTCCTCACTGGGAGAACAGCTCTTAGAACACAGGTATTGGGTTTCAGGGCTGCTCTTTGCTCTTCTCTTTTAATTGCTGTCTCTTTCCATAAAATGTTGCAGTTAATAGTTATGGTGATTGGTGTAGCCAGTTTGAAAAATAATTACTGCCTGCTTCGAGATTATCTTTCCTCCTAATTAAAATCCTGGACCTCACATATTAAAGGTGTGCTGTTGACACAGCATCCCATGTGCGCCCAGACAACCTCATTTGGATTTACAGAATTAATTAGGTTTTATTTCCATCCCCAGCTGTTCTCTCCTGCACCAGGGTTGTGGCTGCTGTCTCAGCTGGACAGTGGTGGCAGAGATAAGAGGAAGTTCTTGCATATTTCCCATCACAAACCAGTCATTAAAAAGTATTTCCCAGACCTCAGCAGAGGATTTCCCACCTTCACTGTGCAGGAAACAAATTGCAGGAGCTGTGGCATGGCCTGTTTTGTGGATTGGGCATTATGTGTTATGTTATGTCATCCCTGTGGGTGGTTTGGGACAGTCTGGAGTCTCTCACTCCCTCTCAAAGCTGCACTGAGAATTTATAATATTACATGAGTGAGGTTTTTGAAATGCCCTGCCTGCAGCAGAGGGAAACACAGACAAAAGAGCCAGGTTTTAATTTTCATTATTAAAAAAATGACTTGTCAGTGTTCCCTACCCCTATTATCAATACCCACTATTATCAAGTGAGTGCTCACTAGCTGCATTTGGTGACATGGATACACGGGGCTGGTTGTGTTAGAGATGTTTTAGGGTGATAGTTTGTGCACACTTGTTGGGATTGGTGAGGTTTTTTGTGTGTGCTGGGCTGCAGAGGTCAGCATGTGTCTATAGGGTGCTTCAGTGCCTGACCCAGGTCATTTTTCTCATTGTTAATATGCATGAAACTGCATGGTCACACGCATGGCCTGTGCCTCTGTACAAGAATCACTTCGTCTTGTTGCCAGGGTCCTTGGATGTTCATGGAGTATTTACAGCCTCTCAACAGAACACAAAAGTCAGTGTTTTGGGAGGGCAAAAGGTCACCAGTATTTTTCTGTGTATCCCAGCTGGTAAATTGATAGAAAGGAGAGTTTTGAGGCTAAAGCAGCTGCAGGACAAACCATGACAGTTGTCCTTCCCTCAAAGCCAGCTGCTTAATATGACTTGACAGTTCCTCCCAGGTGGCTTCCCTGCTGCATGAGGAGACCCTAATTCACGGTGTTAAATGGTTGTGATAATCTCCCATTTCCCTCTGCACACTGGGGGGCTAATGTGCTTACCCATAAACTCATCAAGGAGGCTGCTTTATGGCTACCTGTGGGAGCAGGTGGCTGTGGCACTGCAGAGAGCTCTGCTGGCTCCCCCAGCACAGCCCCATGGCTGGGCAAGCACAGGAAATGCTGATTATACTGCTTTTCCCACAGTTTCTTGCTCTGTTTTTGTGCTGGATGCCAGCATGAGCCAGGCAAAGATCTCCTGCCCAAAACATCATATTCATCCTTTGCTTGAACACCCCTGGATGTGCCACCCCAAAAAACTGTCCCTGTGCCCTTCCTGCATATGCTGAGGAGGTCATTCTGCTTCCAGAATTTGATTCACCAGAAAAGTCAATTTTTTCTCTTATCTGGCCGAGAACAAGCAAGCACGTTTTGTGCCTCGATTGCTATATTTTAATGGCTTTCTTGAAAAGCTAATTTGCAGGATTAAGGCTCAGCTCTCCCAAGGGTTCCTGCTGTCTGAGCACCAGACCCTCAGGAGCCCAGCAGAAAGTGCAAATGAGGAGCAAGGCACTTCCTGGGGCTCCACTGCCACTGCAGGATCTGCCTCAGGATCCCAAACACCTGGAGAGGGCACAGAAGTGCCAGGTGCTCTGTTTGTCCAAGGGGCTGCCAGTCCTCACCTTTAAAAATAATGCAAGGGCTCAGAGAGGCTGTGGCACAGTGGGATGTGCTGCCTGATCCAGCCCTGCCTGCTCTGGCATCACATATGCTGGGGGAGGAGGGACTGTGCCTGATGGGGATATTTTCTACCTCCCCAAAGCTTTTGCTTTCTCATTTTGCTCCTCTGACAGTGTTTTCCTGAGCAAAGCAGATAAGTTGCTTTTGCAATATATACGGCGCGCTGGAAACATCTTCTTACAGGATGTTGATTCTGCAATAATTTTTATCAGCAGACAAAATGCCACAGCTGATACCATTTCTGCTGTTGCATCACTCCATCCCTCCATGCTCCCCCTGTTCTTTTTGCCATCCCTCATAAAAACTAACGTGTTTCCCAGCAGTGAGCACAGCTGACCTCCATATCTCACATTTTCTGTTGCAGTGTGCCATATTGTGTGTCTGATGGGCTCGTGCTGCCAAGTGTGGTGATGAATCTTGGTCCAGGATCACAGCAGCAGTGGCTGGGTGTAATGGGAACTCAGCAGTGCATTTTAGCTCTTTCAGCCTGGTGACCCTTTGTTCCAAGGCAGATGTTTTTCTAGCCCTGTCGTGTTTGCTGTCAGAGCAAAATCTCCATTCATCAATGAAAGCCATCAGCATGTGTTTGACTGTGTCTGCTTCGAGGGGTTGTTGGAGTCTACTTGACATGTGGATGCTTTGGTCTGTGGTATTGATCTCCAGGGTTGATTGGAAGATAATTGTAGGCTGAAGTACCCAGGGCCACTGTTGCAAGCAATTTGTTTTTCATAAAGGATTGTCGAGGCACGAGATGCTTCAGTGCCATGGCAACAAGTGAGATGTAACCAGCAGGCAGAGAGCAGGAGCATGCAGTCCCTGGAGAGGCTTTTCCTTGGCATGGAGAGCCCTGCCAGTCAGAATCCTCTCACTTTGCATCACCAATACATCTCAGTGAGGGGCTGGAGAGAGAAAGGGTGTGCTGTGTGAATAACAGGCTCCATGTCCCTTTGCAGGTACTGGCTGACCGACAAGGTCAGACTCCTCTCACTTGGCATCACCAATACATCTCAGTGAGGGGCTGGAGAGGGAAACGGTGCAGAGCAGGGTGTGCTGTGTGAATAACAGGCTCCAGGGTGTGCTGTGTGAATAACAGGCTCCATGTGCTGTGTGACTAACAGGCTCCATGTCCCTTTGCAGATACTGGCTGACCAACAAGGTGCACATCAAGCGCCCCACCACCGGCCTCCTCATGTACACCCTGGCCACCCGCTTCTGCAACCAGATCTATCTCTATGGCTTCTGGCCCTTCCCCCTGGACCAGAACCAGAACCCAGTCAAGTACCACTACTACGACAGCCTCAAGTACGGCTACACCTCGCAGGCCAGCCCGCACACCATGCCCCTGGAGTTCAAAGCCTTAAAGACGCTGCACCAGCAAGGAGCCTTGAAGCTGACTGTGGGGGAGTGTGATGGGGCCACGTAGGCTGGTCCCCAAGCATGTTCCTGCACAGCCACAGGAGGAGGGAGGGGGCAGAAAGGACGAGTGGTGCCTGGCGGGGTTGGTCATCTTCGTTTGGGCGACACAAATATATCTACGTGGTACTTATATATATTGACCTGAGTGTTATAACTGTTTGGTGTTCACCAAGGGAGGGGCAGGAGAGATGCAGGGGCGTCTCACAGGACTGGCCTGAGCAAGACCCCCTTGCTGTGGGGCTTGCTGGACTCGAGGGGTGTTTGCCTTGCACGGGAGAGGTGTGGAGGTGGCCTTGGTTCCTGCGGGGTGTTGGGGATGGTAACCGTGAGCCGTTTGTCGTGACTGGTGCCAGGTTGGTAGTTAGTTTGTTTGGCCAAGGGCAGCGAGGTGTGTCCTTGGCCCCGTGCTCGTGGCGGGGAGGGGAAGGGGAAGGGGCAGGGAGGGGGTGGGCAGGGAAGGTTTGTTGGTGGCTCTCACAGCCCAGGGTCCCATGGCACCGAGCGGGAGCCAGGTCCTGCCCTGCAGGGATCAGTGCCCAGATCCATCCAGACACAGGGTGGGCACAGCCTTGGGAGCAGGGGAAGCCTCTGGGGCTGCAGGAGGTGGCAGGGAGCAGAGCTGACCAGATCCCAGTGGCACTCACACGTGTGAGGGGCTCCAGAGAGGCGCTGGGCAGGGAGATGGAGAGGAGGATGCTGAATGTGGAGAAGAGGATGCTGAATGTGGTGAGGAGGATGCTGAATGTATTTCTTATCCTTTTCTTTCCTTTTCCATCCATCCAGAGATGCTGGAATGGAGGAGGAAGGAGCTTTGCTGCCACAAAGCAGCACCATTAGTATTGAGCAGTCTCACCGTGTCACAAGGACACCCAGCATCTGTCATGGCTTGTGAAAACCATAAGTATATCCAGCTCTAATTCCTCAAATTCCCAGCTGTTCCCTCTAAGCAGCCTGCCTTCTTTCCTCCTCCAAAAACTGCCAAAATATGGATGATAGGCCTAGACCCAGCCAAGCAGAAAGACCACAGGACTTCAAGGGACTTTTTCAAGTCTAAATAATTTATTTTTAGTTTCTCCCCGAAGAGCCAGCACACAGTGCTGAATTCCTGAAGTCCCACTCTGTCAGTCCTTTCAAGCCCTAATTATCTCTCACTCCCAACAGTTAAATAGGATGTCAGATGGATCTTGATGGGATGCTTGCCTAGTGATGAACATCACAGAAGTAATCTTTTCTTTTTTTTTTTTTTCCTGCCAGACAGAACCCAAAATATAAAGAAATTTTATAACCACATTTGCTTTTCTCTGATTTTCAGGGGGTTTTGAAGGAAGCAGCTAGATTGATCTGATGATTCTGTTTCATTTTCTGCCTCTTTGGCCTATTCTGTTTGTCTCCTAATTAGCACTCAGTGCCAGAATGCAGGTGAGTGCAGGGTTCAGCAAGGGCTGTTTGGGTTTAATTTATGGCAGAGTAAATAACACTGCACAGGCAGACCTCAGGCACGCCCTCCACTGCTGCCATGGCTGGGTATCATCACCTTTGGGCCTCCTCCTGCTGCTGTGGTTTTTAAGTTAAAAAGTGTACAGTTTGGGGCTGAAATACTTGACATTGTCTCTTTAAAAGCTGAGTGCTTCAAATGGTAAAAAGAAGAGCTCACTTTCATGTTTTGGGCCGTAAAAGCTACTGTACCCACAGGAGCCTCCAGCCTGCTAATTAGTGTCAGATGAAGATGGCTAAGATTAAGGTATAAGCAACATTATAGTGGATAAATGTGGGCTAATCTGCCACTGAGGGGATGTTTCTTTCCAGCACCAGAAAATCGTTTCTTTCATGTCTTTTTTTTTTTTTTATTTTTTTAAACCCGGTGCCTTTTTTTTTTCTCCCCGCATATTATTTTTACTTGACTTTAATTTCACAATAAAGCTAAACCTGGCTGTGAACCTCAGCTTAAGCTAAGAGAGAGAGTGAAACTGCAGGATGGAAGTAATCTGCAATCCCAGGGAGCTTCCCACTATTCAGGAGTTGTTCTTAAAGCCAGATAATTGCCAGGTTTGTCCCCAGCACAGGGGGAGGGACAGAGCAGGGCTGGAGCTACAGGGACTGCTAAAGCCAACTGTTGTATGGAGGGGCCTGGGCCGTGGTACTGATTGTTGTTAGCAAACCTTCTTTTTAAATAAAAGTAGAGGAAATGAAATCAGTGTGCAGGGGTTTCATTTTTATTCTGTATTTTTATCAAAGGGCGAGAGGGGAGCCAAGACCATGAAGTGCCATAGGATCAGTTCCAGGAGAGACCCTGGAACCCCTTTGGCTGGTGAAGAAGAGGGGAAGGCTGGGCTGGTTTGCCCACATGGATCGATGTCAGAGCTGTGCCATGGGGACATCCAGAGCCATCAGGATGTTCTCACTGTGCCTGCAGGGATTTTTGAGCTGAAGCTGCAGCAGCACAACAAGGGTGTGCCGGGGGGTGAAAAGGGGATGGGAGAAGGGATTTTTCTTTCTGGTGCTCTCGAAGCAGCTGCTGCATCAAAGCACAGGCAAGTTATAAGCAAATTATTCAGGGGGATGAAATTGCTGGTGATGTTTCTATTCCCAGAATGGGTCCTGTTCCACCCCCGTTGTAAAAATGCATTAAACCATGAGCAAGGCCCTGCAGCTATTGAAATCCCTGGCTGAGCTCCCATTTCACCTTGCTGCCATGCAGGCTGGTCTCTGCTGTGTTTATATGCACAAAAACAACTAAAAATTTCCCCTCGCTTCAGTGTTTTGTGTCAAGCCCTCTGGTCTGGTTCTCTGAGCTTCTCCTCAGGTTGGAAACACAATTTATCATCTCAGTTTCCAGCAAATAGGTGGGACCTGGCTCCACCAAGCCCCAGAGTGCCATAAAGCCCTTGTGCTGTTGATGAGCAGCAGGAGCAGAGATCCAGATTCACCTCCTGCAGCAGTGCTTGGGGTGGGTGGATGATTTTGGGGCTATTCTGGGGCAGCCCTGGAGCAGCTGCCAGATGCTGTGGGGACCCAGCAGCTGCACCAAGCTGCTGCTTGATGGATTTCTTCATGGCCAATTAAGGCTCTTGTGTCATCAGGAGTGAAGCAGAGGAGAGCATTGATGCTGCCTCGGCAGAGATGCAGGTGCACACGTTGCACCATGGATGTGTTTGGCTGCCCTAAAGGCAGCAGCAGCTCCCCTTGCTTGAAAAATAGAGGAAATCTTGACTCTCCAACTGGCTAAGCCCAGATTTTGGGACTTTTTGGGGCAATGCTCTAAAAGGGATGCTGGTCAAGTGATCTCACCCTGTGCCCCTGGGGGATCTTCCAGGTACAACAGCTTAGGGACAAGGGCTGTGTGTTCCTTGCTCCTCACACCACAGGGAGAAACCCACATGTCTTTTAATTTTATTCATGTTTTGCTGGGTTAAATCCCACCCTTGGAGTCTGCTACAGCTTTGGCATATATATATAGATAGATAAAATGTATATTTATTTTATATATATATATATAATGTATTATATATATATATAAAATGTATATTATATATATAAATATATATATAATATATAATATAATACAATATAGAATATACAATATATATTCTATATTCTATATTCTATATTCTATATTCTATATTCAGCATTAAGTATTAAGTATTATATATATATATAGCCATGAAATTTTTTATATATATATATATATATATATATATATATATACACATATAGGGGCATGGCTCTTGCTCTCCTGGGGGAGATCATGCCATATCTGGCCCTGACACCAAGCACATCTCCTCCTCTGGTCAAACTGCAGAGTCTGCAGGCTCCACTGCCAACATTAATTTATTATCATTAATACCTGCACTGCCTTCTTTAGAGCTGACTGGGATGGTTTGAGTTGCAGCAGCTCCCCTGAATGCAGCACAGCATCCCCTGGGTGCTCCCCACTCTGCCCAGCCCCCAGGACAGGGATGGAGTTTGTCCTCTTCCCCCAAGCTCTCCTCCAGCCAGGACTTGCTGCAGGTCAATAACCAACCCTCTGCTTCACTCCCAGCCCAGATAATTAGTGAGCAAAGTGCAAATAGTTACTGTGATTCAAATTACCTTTTAATTTCTTTTCAAGGTGCCTGAGGGGTTTCTTTAGTCCTATGAAAAAACTGATTTTTTTTTTTTCCCAGACACCAATCTTGCAAACCAGAAAGACACAATATTTTGCATTCAAGGTGTAATGAAAGTTGTTTGCATTTTTACACTGCATTTTGGATACTTCTTGGGAATAACACTGAGCACTTCAGACAGTCTCAAATGATACAAATTATTTATGTTGATTGCAAAACAAATTCATTTTTAATTTTGTGAAAAATAGTCTCAAAAAGGTTTCACCATCTAGAAATCATAACATAGATATTGGCTTTGTATTTTTTTTTTATCCACCACTCCTTTTCAAAGTTTAAACAATCCAATTTCATGCTAGAGAGGCTTGAAACTATGGAGATTAAAGCTTGAAACTTTGAGAGACCCACAAGGGACAGCAGGAAAGTGGTTTGGCACTCCAGAGTGCCCCCCAATGTCAGGAGGTAAAACCAGGCACATAACCACGGCCTCCAATGTAATGCTTTGTCAAACCATACATTTTTCAGCTCTTTTGCTTGCTTTAATTTTTAGGTTTCTCATGTTTATGAATGGTTCATTAGCATATATTTTCATTTCTCTGTGTTAGTCTATCACCCTCAGCACCAGACAGCAGAATTTCATTTTGGGGTCTACCTTTTTAACCACATCAAATGCCTTCTAGCCTTCCTCTTCTTCACTACTACTTAATCTTATTTTTCCCTGTGAAAACAACTGAGCACCCCTGAGCTGGCCAATTTTGTCTGCAGCTCCAGCAGTGCTCATGTCCAGGTTCTACATTGGGAGATCTTCCCACTGTGGACACCACCAGCAGCAGGGAAGGGACTCCATGTCTCACCTGTGCTCCCCAGAGGGTTGCACATCACCCATGTAGGAAATTACTGAGAAAGGAAAGGAAATTACTGAGAAAAGCCTTGGACAGGGGCCTGAATGACAGCTAAAAAAACCATCACCCACCCAAGAGGATGGACTTCTCTCCCAGTATTGGCAACATTCAGCAGTGAGCTCCTTTTCCAGCTACAATAACTCCTGTTTGGTGAACTCCTGCTCATCAAACCTACCCAGTGCATGAGCAAAGCTGTCACAGGCTGGTTCCCTTCACAGCCCAGCTGCAGGCAGGTGCATTTGGCTGCTTAACATCATCCCCAAGCAAATCCACCCATGCCCCTAGAAAAACCAAGGTCAGCACTCACTGACCCTTGAGATGCTCTCAAGACCTAAGGTGCATGAACAGAGAGCAAATGTGAAGTAACAACATGGATGGAAATATCTCCTGCTTGGTTAATGAAGGAATTTTCAGCCATCTCCAACTCCTAAAGAGAGGAGGACAGACCCCAGGGATGGCCAGGGAGATGTCATCCTAAAGGAGATACCAAACTCTCCAGGCTGAAGGCTGCACAGGGAAGGCACTGAATTTACTGCTCTCATGTTCAGAATAGAAGTGAGCAGTATCTGTTGATTGTATCCAGGAGAAAAGCACAGGGTTTGAGCATGGATTAGGAAAAACCACTGTCCTTGAATGCCAAAAAGCAGCTGGGCCTGTTGTCCCCTCTCAGAGTGCCCAGCCAGAACAAACCCATGGCTCTGCTGGAGGAACACTGCCAGCAATAAAAGCTAAGTCCCCCTGTGCTGAGATGGTGGCAGGCCATCTGACACTAATCCTGTGCCTCCAGCAAACAAAGCCTCTGAGGCATTGTGAAATATCCTCAGCTATCGGCTGGCTTGGTTGCCTGGAGAAGCTGCTGGAGGAGCACTCGGTATTCTCACACAACCCAGGCAGCAGAGGTTAAAGCACATTAGAGCAGCATAATGAGCTTTTTAACCAGTGCTCTGGAAAGCCTCACATGCCACTCTCTAGAAAATGTTCTAATTTAGGCTTCGGAGGAAGCACAGAGCAAGGAAAATGTTGTGCTTGGACCGTCAGTCCTGTGGTGTCCTGCTGCAACTCTTCCAGATGAGCTTGCTTAACTCGGCTTGTGCCTGGAACAACTTTGGATGGAAATTGCTAGGAAGAGGAGAAGAGGCATGCTCTATTCCTGGACTGCACATTAGTGTTCCATATGGGTGCAGAGCCAAAGCATATGGACCTCCATCTGTCAGGCAGGCCTGCTCTGGCCCCATGGATGGTTTGTAATGTGCGTAGATTCATCCAGATTTGGGATTCCTCCAAAGCAAGGCGAGAGCCAATGACTCAAATATTGTGCAAAGCCATTGAAACTGATGGCACTAAACAACAATCATTTGTCTCCTGTTTGATTTTACTTGCTGTAAAATAATGAATTAGTTACGGGGGTGGGTGAGTATTGTGCTGCGGATGGAAGCTTTGAAGGAAACATGGCTAAAGGAAAACAAAACAAGAATCATACTAGTAATTCTGTGTCAGCTTCCTCCTTTGTATTATTCTCCAGAAAGTAAGCTGTGTCCTTCACCTTCAATAACATGGCATTTATGCTCCATCTGTGATCAGATTTAAAGATGTTTGCAGGCATAATTCAGGCAACTTTCAATGACAAACTCAAGGAAGCTGAAGAAAGAACCCTTGAAGTTCTTCCACGACTAAAACAACTCTAGGGAAAATGAACTTTGCTCCTACAAGCTCTTTATTAACCACAAGCTCCAGACTTGGATGTTTTCTTTTCTTTTAAAACAAATAATTAGCCCCAAAAGGCTCCAAGTCTTAGCATGCTGTGCTGTTTCTTGCAGTGTGTGGTGGGACTGGTCCTGACCTTGCTGAAATCAGGAAGCACTGCAGCCCAGCAGCACCACCACTTCATCCTTCTTCAGGTCACATTTCTGCTTTGAAAGATGGGCCTCAGAGGCTGAATTTAAGGCCCCATGCTGGAAACATTTCTGCTGAATTTTCCTGCAGAGCTGTGTGGGACACACGATTAAAGCCATGGGATGACCGCCAAGGAGATGGGCTATTGTGGCAGCCCCTGGGAGAGCTCATAGCAGAAAAAAAAAACCCTCTCTCCACTAAATTAATTAATTGCCATGCATGTTAGCTCTGGGGTTTGGGGAAATTACCGTGGCCTGATTTCCTTCAGCACTTTTATTCCTGGCTGGAGACCAGGG